CACACACACCACACACACACACACACACACACACACACACACACACACACACACACACACACACACACACACACACACACACACACACACACACACATACACACACATATATATAATTATATATATATATAATATATATATATATATATATATATATATATATATATATATATATATATATGTTATGTGGGTCATTGTTACCCCAACATAAATCTTCGTTATTACTTTACTCTAGTAAGTTAATCAAAGGTTATCTCAGATAGTTTCAATAATATTTTTGTTCATTAAAACTTCAGATCAGTATGGCATCATTCTGATTCATCATTCACTATTTCTGGAAACCTTAAAATGAATTAAATTACTCTATTTCACATATATCTCGATATCATTGATATTTTCACTCATATATATCATTATTCTTCAAGACATAGGTTCTTATTTAATAGATATTGTATTTCTCGTGTCGATGTACTCCAAGTGATTTAATTAGTATAAGTGTTGTTTCTTTTTGTTTCGTGTACCACTGTGTTCAACCCAACCAGTATCTCTGTGGTGTGGTTCTCTCCTTTGTTCAGTGTCCTATTATGTAGGAATGACAAAATGGGATAATATTAAACACTGTGTGTGAAAAGAACTTATACATTTATTAAGTAATAATACTTACAATTTGACCATAGTTCCTAGGCCCGCCTTCCGCTAACTTCGGGGAAAAGACGAACTGGAATCTACAGCTAACTTCACCCTAATACTAGAATTAATTTCTAGTTAGTTAAGCTAGTTTTCACGGCTAATCACGCCGTATTCTTCAAATGAGTTCCAGGAGTCAACACCGATTCACCTTCACTCAATGATGTTTCAACCTGAACTGACTTCAGGAATTTTAGACCTAGGGGTGCCAGGTCATCTAGACAGAGGCCTGGTTGTTCGGTTGTATGGATGCTGAGGTGGCACTTTGAGAAGGCGACTTGGTATTTTGGCCCTTATCTCGAGTTAAAGTAACCACCAAGATCGTCCACAAGTATTTCACCTCTAACATAAACACAACCTACAACTACAGCCTCACTACCACCAAACTCTATTTTGTGGTTTTATTCCCTTAGAATTTTATATCATCATAACTAATCAAGCGTTACGATTTACCAATTAAATGCATTAATAATGGCAAAATTAAAGTGTCACTGCTTCTGGCCGATGACATACTCCCCCGCTTAAATCACGCGTCCTCGAGTGACCGCGAATCGCTATGGGTGTGCATCTATCGGGCTTAACGCTCATGTACATCAGAGCAGCCAACTCCTTACAGATTCCCCTATAACCTCCTCCAAAACCATACCGAGATGACTACTAGGCAAAGGACTAAAATAGGTCCTACAGCAAACTCCCTTGATAATGTGACTGTACAATAACATAACGATGCTCTGTACGGCTAACCAGAACAGCATTACCTTCTTCGATCAACGCAATGGCCTGTTTCAACCCGTGAACTGACTCCTTTAATATTGCTCAATCAGTTAACTGTTCATTTACTTATCATCTCGATACCTTTGGATTAGAGGGATTTCATCACATACATCTAACACATGATATCCGAAATTACTTTACAACACGTGCTAAAACAAAATGGATATAATTCTACTTACAGGATGACTAAATAATCCTACTCCATCCTCTAATTTTAGTGCAAACTCGATCGTCCAACTCAAAAAGTTAAGAAACTTGCCTACTCACCACCGCCCTTCAACCCTACATAATCAACCAATTACTTTCTGGAACACCGAGAGTTTCCTCCAAATTGTCTAGCAAAAAACGATACACTTGCAAGGTGTGCTGCTTTCTCAATGTGCAGGAAGTTGTATCTGGTTCTTGCTAATCTTCTCTGTTACGGAATACTCTTCTCCCGGGCTGTCAGGTCATAGTCTAACAACCCAACATCAGGTGTTCCTTTGGTTCCGACTATCTACGCATCTTGAGGTTACGGGTCGTAAGAAGGTTCAGACAATCAATATGGAACAATCAGTGCTATCCGCATCATTCTCTTCAATTTTCAACCATCTATCTGCAATATAGAACACTTTTACAACAATGTTGGTGACCATCCTGTCCCCCCTTAATCTAATTAGCTGATTAGTGTTGTTTGTGTCCGTTTAGTGGTGTGGTTGATTAATCCTGCGGTCCTTCATGCAGCCTAGTATAGTATCCCGGTGGATATCTCGTGCGTCCACTGGTACGTCTACCATGCTCACTCAACTCATCATGCACAGTTTTATTGTTACTTCTTTCACTCTCAGTACTTGCACTCGCATCATTAGTTGCAACCTCTGGTTTTGGTGAAAGGTCTTTAGTGTTTGTGTCATGCCTAAATATATAAGAATCAGTGGTTTGTAGTCCATCAGACTCATCAACATTCATACTAGGTAACACATTAACATTATTCGAAACATTAGCTTTATCAGCATTGTTGGAATCTCTGCAACTACATCTTGTGCTAGGTCATCTACCTCACTTGACTCTTGAGCCCAATCTTGGTTGCTCTCTGAAGTTCCTTTTCCATCGTCATTCGTTGGGAAGTTCATGACATACTCTTCTTCACGTGCTTCTTCTTCTTCGGATGTACCTTCAGGTCTAATATCTGAATGTGTCTCCTGTGGATAAGGTCTTCTTGCTTCTGGGGCTAGCGATCTCGGAATACTGGCCTCCAGCGCGATCTTCATATTCTCGAGATGAACTTCCTTCATCTTTTCTGTCTGTAGGTGTTTAATCCTGTAGACATATGGTCGTATTTGCTCAACGACTCGGAAGGGTCCTTCCCAGCGGGGAGATAATTTGCTGTCACCCTTCTTCTTCACAGCCTTGATGAAAACTCTCATCCCAGGCAGTACTGTAGTGTCTTTGGATTTCTTCTGGCGAATCCTACACTGTTCATCTGCTGCTCTTAGCAAGTTGTCTCGTACATATTCGTACACCTCTTTGGACCGTTGAGTCCTTGCAGTTATGAAATCCTCATCAGGTGGACCTCCAAAACTTGTGGGTCTGGTCCACCAAAGGTCTGAAGTCTTCAGGTCCCGTTGTACATGGCGTAATACGGCGTATCGCCAATTGCTTTGTGGTAAGCAGAATTTAAAGCCATTTGGGTGTCCTTTAGGTAAAGATCCCAGTACTGATCTTTTCCGTCCACCATCCCTCGTAGAATATTGAGAACTTGCTGATTGGTCCGTTCACAGAGTCCATTGGACGCTGGATGGTATGCAGTAATTTTATGATGCTGAAACTGCATATGCTTCGCCATCTCCTTCAGGATTTCATTCCTAAATTCGCGTCCCTGGTCCGTTAATACCGTCTGAGGAATCCCGAGGTGCAAACACCTCACTTACAGCCTCAGCTACGGTCTCAGCATATTTGTTGGGTAAGGCTCTGACAACGGCAAATCGTGTCAAAAAGTCCACTATTACCAAGATATACTGGTTTCCTCGCTCGGTCAGAGGGAAAGGTCCCATCAGATCCATCGAAACCATTTGGAAAGGTTCCAGTGGAACAGGATATCTTCTTGGAGTCAGTGGGTGTGCACGCCCCTTAAACTTCGCAAGTAATGCACTTCCTGCAATACTCAGCTATATCCCTGTCCATACACGCCAAGTAAAGTTTTGTCTCGCCCTAAACTTGGTCCTCTCCTCAGCACCATGACCTCCTAGTGGTGCTAAGTGTACAAGTGCCAAAGCTTTCGGAACTAGTGTTCTAGGCACACACAGCACTTCCTTTATATCTCGCGCTGAATTAGGTGTCCTGACTTGTTTGTAGAGGAGCCCTTGATCAAGGAAATAATCTTCTACCACCAAGTTCGGGTCCACTTTCCTCTTGTCGAGAAGGTTCTTCGTCTGCAAGTACTTGATTACAGGTGAGTATAAAGGATCTTGGTTTTGTTCCCGGATCATTTCATCGATAGACCAAGGGTGACCATCTTCCTCATCATCTTCCTGTTCATCTTGTCTTGTTTTCCCTCCAAGATTATTGGCTACTACTGCCATCAATATCCGGCAGTTTTGAGCTTCATCGATTATCATCGTTGATGCTTTCTCAATATCTTCAGGATCCACTCCTTCTGGTGCTTCAATACGAGATAGTGCATCAGCAGCATTCAGCTTTCCCGGATGGTACAGAATTTTAGCGCCGAAAGACTGAGCAGTTAAGGCCCATCTGGTGACACGTGCATTACCATCCTTAGCTTTGTGGAAAAGCCACTGCAAAGAGCGATTATCCGACATGACAATCACTTCTAATCCCCATATAAGAGGTTTAAACTTCTTCAAAGCCTCGATTACAGCGAGCGCTTCTTTCTCCATCACATCATAGCGAAGCTCAGCTCCTCGAAGCTGGCGACTGAAATATGACACAGGGCAAAAGTGTCCGTCACCTCTGTGCTAAAATGGCACCAATAGCTCCCTTACTGGCATCAGTAGAGATGTACCACGAAGTCAGGAGATCTCAACACTGGCTCCTTTAGTAGACTTCTCTTCAGCACTTCAAATGCTTCCTCTTGTTCACTTCCCCAAATGAAAGGTTGTTTCTCTGAGGTCAACTTTGTAAGAGGTTGGGCCTTTTGGGCATATTTCTCTATGAATCGTCTGTAATACCCAGTTAGACCAAGAAATCGTCTTACTTCACGTCGATTTTTGGGTGTGGGAAAGTCTTTTACAGCAGCTAACTTGTCTAGCGCCGCTTTAACTTCCCCATGCCCTACACGATGCCCTAAAAGGTTTATTTCTTGTTGGAATAATCGTGTCTTCTCAGGACTAGCCTTTAGTCCAGCCTTTATCAACCGACCCAGTGCTTCCTTCAGTACCTGTAGATGCCTATCAATATCATCCGTGTATATAGCTATGTCGTCTAAGAACAACTGCAACCCTTGTCCGATTTGGCCACTGAAGACTCGGTTCATGAGGCGTTGGAACGTTCGAGGTGCATTAGACAGACCAAACGGCATCACTGTGTACTCGAAATGTCCTTCATGGTGGTGAAGGCTGACTTCGGTATTGAGTCGTCATCCAGTGGTACTTGATGGTACCCGCTACGCAAGTCAAGCGTCGAAAACCATTTGCTCTGACTGACTTGGTACAGGATGTCTTCTATCAGTGGCAAAGGGTAGAACTCAAGCTTGGTTTGGCTGTTCAAAGCCCGGTAATCTACACAGAGCCGAGGATGCGATTTGTCCTTTCTCTTCACTAGAACAATTGGTGCATTCCATTCAGAAGAACTGACTCGAATATGGCCTTGCTCCTTCAGAGCCTGGACCTCTGCTTCCACAGCAGGTCGTAGAGCATATGGGATGAACCTAGGTGGAACATATACTCGATCACTGTCGCCTGTCTCTATCTTGTGCTCAACAAGATTGGTTCTTCCTAAAGGTTCCTCTTTAAGGTTGAATGCCTCTTGGAATTCCCATATCATGGACTCTGCTGCTTTGCGTTGGTCTTCCTTCAGGATCCAGCGATCAGCGTCCAGTGCTTTCAGAAGTTTCTGGAAGCGCTTCTCATCATACACTGGCCCGTTTTTCACCACACAACATGGATCAATTTGAAGAGCTTGATCCAGGGGATCCTCTTCCTCTACATCATCCGGTTTCACCTCAGTGACCACGGCATTGATGCTCATCCTTGTGAGAACTCGTTGTTTTTCCCAGTGGTCGGTCGGTAAACGTCCCAGCTGCTCCTCTTCATCATCTTGGATAGACACAGCATTGGCAATGGTTCTCTTGCTATGAACCAAGAACGGTGTGCGACCGAAGTTGCAGACCAAGACTTTCACAACATCTTCTGCCTTGGCTACCACAGGGATAACGATACAGTTCTCTCCCAACGGTAACCCACTGATTAAAATCGAGGTTCCGTTTTTGAGTCTCTCGTCCTTCTGCTTAAGGCTCCCTAAAATGATGGATGCCTTCCCAGCAGGAAGGGTGTAAACCCCAGTAGAGACTATTACAACTGTGTCCCTTTGTCGGCAACACTGTTGAATGCCACATCAGAAGAACAGGTCATCGGTGCATCTCCACAGTTAGCGTTAATTGGTTGATCAACCACTCCAGCTATGTCATGCACCTGTTTATCATCGATGGGGGTAGGTAGGCACTCCACCAATGGCTTTTGTTTAAGATGAACCCTCCAATACTGAAAACTTAGATCCAGCTTGTGAGTCCTCATAAAGGCCGTCCAATAAGCAGATCACAATTACCTGGGAAATGGATTGCATGATCCTCGAATACAAAACAATCACCAGTAAACTGCTTTCCCCCAATAATGAAAGTCATCTTGGCCAGTCCAAGTGCTTTCACTGGTTCTGCATCAAGGATACCACTTACTGTCACGTTATGGGGAACTAGCGGAGAAGGTACGTCTCTTTGTCTCGTAGAGTCCTTCTTCTTCACGTCCTCATGTGCCCGATAAAGTGATAGTTTGACCAGATTGGGTTTTGCACCAGAGTCCCACACAGCGACAAAACTTCTGTCATTCTGTGGTACAAACACTTCAGTCATATATTCTGGAGGTGGTGGTCCTAGCATGGGAATGCGATAGTCCACGGTCTCCTCCATTCTCTGGTGTCTCCCTTCCTCTACTCCGTGTTGCCGTCCGTCTTGGACGGCTTGGCTCCGTTTTTTGAAGCCAATAATTTCTCGACGTCCTTTTGGATTGGGCATTCGGCTCGCCGATGTCCTTTCTTTTGACACAGGAAACATGTCATCATGCTAGATGGATTGCCCTTTTTCTCTCTCCTCTGCGGCTTATCTGCCGCCAGTGTTGAAGAAGTTTCGGCTGCTTTCAGCTTATAGCAATCCTCCTTTCCATGCGTCTTATTCCAGCCATGTTCTGGACAATGAAACTTTTTTCCTCCGTTCGCTTTCATGGATCGACTTTCTGTTTTTACAGCACCGACTCTGGTTTTCATGGCTGGTTTTTCTTCCCCGGAGCTTAACTTAGTTTGGAATTGTTGGTCGAGTAGAGGATTATCCTCCATCCAAATTCCAATTTCTTTAATCAAGTCGGCAGCATCCATGGAGTTTAGACGGTCATGGTCCCATTTTTCCGTCCCTTCAATCCGATATTTCGCTACGGCTTTTCCGACCATATGGTCATAGAGAGTATCCATCACAATATTCAGCCAAATTCCGTCAAATGGCCAATGTTTCATCAGCATGCAGTCTAGTCGAAGAGCCTTTGGTGTCTTGGCCCATTTTGTATGTCTCACCCCTCTTTCTCTCTGCTTCTCGAAGGATACGGTTCCAAGGTTTTCTTCCTTCACTAAAACCGAGAAAGGATCATCTTGCTGAAACGTCGGTAGGGGACTCCTTCAGCTCCCACCTCATGTGCATACACTCTAGCGGGTCCTTTCTCCGTGTGAACGTACCCCAAGGCGAACAATGTCTTGTCTATTTCTCCCGTAATGTTACGCCTTTTCATTTCTGCTTCCACCCGGGCAAGCCATTCCCCACCGGTGAGGCCCTCTTCCCCACCCGTAAACATGGGAACACTCTTGTCCCTGGTGAATACTTCCATTGTACTGAACTGTCTCGTAGTTCCAGCTTGGCTCGGTGCTTCATTAGCCGTGGTTTCAGCTGATTGAGCCTCGGAAGTGTCTTCTGTTGCAGCTCGATGACTGCGAGATTGCATCTCCACCACTTGCTGCAATTGTGCAGCTAAGCCGCGCATTTGTTCCTCTAAAAGCTCAAATCGCGCGTCCATTTTGCGTTTTCCTAACGAAACCGGGTGTAAATTACAAGGGTTATCTTCCTCCCCCGGTGATTCTGCTACGTCGAGCAGTAGTTCAGCTTCTCTAAGAGTGAAAATGTATTCTTCTTCGTACAGCTCCTCTATAGGATTGTTTTCTAAAGAATTTGACGATTTTGATCTTGTCTCAGACATGAACTGTCACCCGCATCAACAATATTACAATACAATATTATGAGTCCATCGTTAATTGTAGTCACTTCAGTGCGAAAACCAATAAGAACGCAAGTAAACACAAGAAAACAAGCGTAATTAGTTAACCATCAAAAACACAAAACAAACTAGACAGTAGAAAAAAATAAAACACTCATAACCCATGGACAAACCTCCATTCATATAATAAAAGGTTATATATTTGTATTAGCCGTCTTAGTATAATTGTAGTGTGTTAAGTTAGTATGCCCTCCACTCCGTCTTCTATGAATTTCTATTGGTGAAAGAAAACTTTTAGGGATAACTAACCCAAAAATATTACTCAAACAAATCAATTTCTAATTATCCTTTTATATTGAACTGTGTAATCAATAAGCATGCATGAATTTACCCCTTAATTAACTTTATTCATCTAGTTACTATTAAGGAATAGTGGAGACTTAGCCATGCAATAATTGACTTTCAGAGATGTTCTCTGTCTCGCGTCAGCTCTCAGACTACCGCTCTCGGTATCACGAGCGAGTGGCTCAGTGACGTCACAGTCATGAGTCTACCGTCGTCTGATTGGTCCTACGAGTCTTACGTCAACCTTACGTAGTCTGACGTCATATGCTCGTCCAATTCCTCGTCGCTGATTGGATAGCGGCTCGTGCTCTAAAACTTAAGCGTTACAGACACTCTGTTCTCTCAGCCAATCAAAACTCAGTTTTGCAGTCCCTCACACTCTCATTGGCATGCCAGTACGTCAGTGAGTCTAACAGTCTCTACTTTCCTCGGTGCCTGCAATAGTTGCCGTACACTTCCAGAATGCTGCGATACTGACAATTTATTTAAAGTACATAGAATACAATACTATTATTAATCCTTCTCGCTGCCACATTTATATGTGGGTCATTGTTTACCCAACATAAATCTTCGTTATTACTTTACTCTAGTAAGTTAATCAAAGGTTATCTCAGATAGTTTCAATAATATTTTTGTTCATTAAAACTTCAGATCAGTATGGCATCATTCTGATTCATCATTCACTATTTCTGGAAACCTTAAAATGAATTAAATTACTCTATTTCACATATATCTCGATATCATTGATATTTTCACTCATATATATCATTATTCTTCAAGACATAGGTTCTTATTTAATAGATATTGTATTTCTCGTGTCGATGTACTCCAAGTGATTTAATTAGTATAAGTGTTGTTTCTTTTTGTTTCGTGTACCACTGTGTTCAACCCAACCAGTATCTCTGTGGTGTGGTTCTCTCCTTTGTTCAGTGTCCTATTATGTAGGAATGACAAAATGGGATAATATTAAACACTGTGTGTGAAAAGAACTTATACATTTATTAAGTAATAATACTTACAATTTGACCATAGTTCCTAGGCCCGCCTTCCGCTAACTTCGGGGAAAAGACGAACTGGAATCTACAGCTAACTTCACCCTAATACTAGAATTAATTTCTAGTTAGTTAAGCTAGTTTTCACGGCTAATCACGCCGTATTCTTCAAATGAGTTCCAGGAGTCAACACCGATTCACCTTCACTCAATGATGTTTCAACCTGAACTGACTTCAGGAATTTTAGACCTAGGGGTGCCAGGTCATCTAGACAGAGGCCTGGTTGTTCGGTTGTATGGATGCTGAGGTGGCACTTTGAGAAGGCGACTTGGTATTTTGGCCCTTATCTCGAGTTAAAGTAACCACCAAGATCGTCACAAAGTATTTCACCTCTAACATAAACACAACCTACAACTACAGCCTCACTACCACCAAACTCTATTTTGTGGTTTTATTCCCTTAGAATTTTATATCATCATAACTAATCAAGCGTTACGATTTACCAATTAAATGCATTAATAATGGCAAAATTAAAGTGTCACTGCTTCTGGCCGATGACATATATATATATATATCGTGAGATTCTAAAATATATATAGGCTTCCGCAATGGCGTGAATATGGAGAATTTCAATTTAAAAAAAATCTCAAGATTTGCTAGAAACCATAGACTTTCCCTAAAAAGCTATATAATTCTCCTAATCTTCATAAATGTTACCAAAACTACGTCATGCGCCAAAATCGCGTGGAATTCGCAAATGTCGCGGAGGTTGGTGACGTAAACAAAAACAAAAGGCGATCGACTGTAAACACTGTCAAAGGGCCACTGGGGCCGCTATGTCGCCTCCCCACGTCAAATTGGGTTTTAATCGGCAATGGTGAGTGGAAATGGTGCGGAAAAGGCCAGGAGGGGAACGTGAGGTGTAGGGTATCGAGGAAGTAGACTGATGAGGGTTGTTAGTGCCTTTATTGTCCTGTTAAGACAGCTGAGGTGGTGGTCTAGCGAAGGAAATGGCCTGTGTTTAAGGGCAATTGCACTTTAGTTTAATATGCATGCGTGTATGTGGATGATTTGCGGAAAAGTCTTTGAAGTCAATAGGTAGGACTGTTGGTAAGCATGCAGAATACCTTTACATGACCGATCACGATGATGGTAGTGTGGATGGATTCCTCTCACTGTTTACTTCCTATTCATATAGAAATTATGCTGCGATAACCCCCCAATATATATAAACTTGGTCCTGAAAGCAGGGGTGTGCATGAATGGTACCAGGGAAGTTTTGGGATAAATAATGGTAATAAAGGTATAATTTGTCTCTGGAATCAACTGCAACCCAAGTTACCGCCACCCCTCGACTCACCCTGGATGACGAAGAGTCCACCACATTTGTAAGGCAGAATAGAGTGGAGGACAGACCCAGTATCAGGCTCTCAGAGGCACTGGGATTACGTATATCATGCACCAATATATTTATTGCAAGGGGCTGTTCCCCCTCAGGGGTATTGACCATAGACGAAGTGCCAGTGGTAATAAGACTGTGGTGATTGCGTGATGCTAGCACTATTATGTATATTATGTATGATTATAAAACTTATTTATTGTTAATTGTTAAACGAGGGGATGTTGTGGTAGATTTGCAAGTTCTATTTTACCCTGACTTTGACCCCAGTTGAGTTGAATGGAGACCCATCAGGTGGGATGCCATCACCCCATTACTGAGCTACATCACCTCAGTTGTTATTGATGGTAGATAGTATAGAACAGATAGGAAGCAGGACATCTTATTAGGAATAGAAAATCTATGATCATTGTCAAGTGTTGTCATTTCTGATAGGAGAGGAAAGTATGTGGTATTTTGTGGATAGCAACAGCAAATTTGATAGAATTACTCATTACTTAAAGATGTTTAAGGAAGTAATTGGTATAATTTCTTGACCAGTGATAATTAGCAGAGGCTGTCAACTCTAATGGCACAATAACATTCAATAGAGTATTATAATGATTGGTGCAAAAAATATGAATGATTTAACGCAAGGTCCTATGTTATTATCAATACATTAGTGGATTACAGATGAAAAAGGAAAGAAATGTAATATTTTATTAAGGAAACACATATCTTCTCTTTTAGTTAAGCATTATAAATAGACCATTAAAGGAATTCCTTTTCTTTATGAAGGACAAGCCAGTTTGCAAATTGATTGTTAAAGTGAAATTTGAAAAAGAGCAGGCATTCTGATATATTGCAATTTGAATTCTTGAATGACTGATACCCATACTGTATTTCAGAAAATATGTTTTTTGGACACTATATGGGAAATAAATGCTGAGATTTTAAATGAAAAGCTATTGGAAGGTAAGATAAAGCAGCTTTGTGGTTAGATTTTATGATATTCCTATTTAACATCAGTTTTATATCTCTCCATTTATCACAGTTCAATAGATTTATTCTTCTCAGTCTATGCAGTACTATGGATAACAGTCCATTTTATGATATTCCTATTTAACATCAGTTTTATATCTCTCCATTTATCACAGTTCAATAGATTTATTCTTCTCAGTCTGATTTTTACCATTGGCATAATCGGTATCCTTCTCTCCCAGATTGCAGAAGACTAAGACATTGTCAGAATGTTAAGAATTGAGTCTTACATTACGCCCATCATCCTAAGCTATGTGGATAAATACATTAAGAACCTCAAACCTGAGGACTCCCAGGTGAGTTGCTTTTGATATTTTTTCTTCCTTTTCATCATATGTCATTTTTTACTCTATTTGTGTTTATTTTTTCAACTTCCATATTAGCTTCTCCTTCTCCTCCATTTCATTATATATTTTTTATTATGAGTATATACACTTGATTTATGTTTATTTTTCTGCCTTTTTATAAGTAGTATTTGCTAATGTATACCATGAACAGTACATCAGGAACTCCTTTTCTCTTTGTAATGTTATTTATTATCATTATTTTTGTTTCTTTTTTAAGGTTTCCTTGTGGGGTGGAGATGCAGTCTTCAATAACCTCGACCTACGTTTAGATGTCTTGGAGCAAGAATTACGTCTCCCTTTCTCCTTCGTAAATGGGCACATTCACGAGCTGCGGATCCACGTGCCATGGACAAAACTGACATCGGAGCCCATCATTATCACAATCAACACCATAGGTTGCTCTTGCTTTTTTTTTTTTTTTTTTCATCCTTTTCTTTTTTTTAAGAAAAAATGGATAGGTATCATCTACATATTAATTACAGTAATTAGTTTTGCTCTGTGGCTATGTATAAAGACTTCCTTGATCTTTACTGTCCATATTTTAACAACATTGACTGTAGACTATTCTGTTCTCTTCCTCCAGAATGCATCCTTAAACTAAAGGGCAGTGACACCGCAAGCTCAGACACCTCAAGCCAAGGAGGAACAGGACCAAAGTCGCCAGATATTAGGCGGAGGCAGAAAAGGCGAGTACTGTATTGATGAAAATGTGAAGAATGTTGCATTTTTTCAAGGGATATTATGTGACCTGCTAATGCACTGTCATTGGGTCAGATAAGTGTCACATTAGGTCTTAAGTAAATGTTAAGAAACTATATCATCATAGGTAAGGGAAAATTCATCATCTATCTCCACTATAAACAATATTATTTTTTTATATTTCAGGCAAGACCTAGAAGTACCAACGAGTTATGTTCAAGGGCTCATCAACAGAATCATAAATAATGTGTGCATTGTTTGCAATAATGTAATTCTCAAGTATGTTGAGGATGACATTGTCTTATCTATCAATGTAAAAACACTTGAGTTCCGCTCTGTCAATGGTAACTGGACGCCAGCTTTTATAGGTAAGTGAATATTCTTTTTACAGTTGATTTCCATTGTAATTATTATTGTTATTATTATTATTGATATTATGATAATTATTATTGTTATTATTGTAATTGTTATTATTATTATTATTATTATTATCATCATCATCATCATCATCATCATCATCATCATCATCATCATCATCATCATCATTATTATTGTTTTATAATTATTGCAACAGTTTATTTCTACTACCCCCAAAGATAGATACTTAATTATTAGCTTTACATGCAGATTTATCATAGCAAAATTCACCATTAGTTTACCCCGGGTTACCCTTTTGATTTGTATCTAGAACATTAGTAGTCCAATATTTTTGTAGCCCACAGAGTATTCTTTTCTGAATGCAGCACTTTATACTATGAGCTTGATATGACAACTGAAATCAGACAAGCTTATTTTAGCTTATTTTTTCTCTTAGATTTACAGCCTCATCATTCAGTTCAAGCAAACGCACAGTACTCAGTTATTAAACCGTACCATTTGTCACCATTCCTTTCCCTCACAAACACAAAGGTTAAAGCCAAGTGAAATCAGACAAGCTTATTTTAGCTTATTTTTTCTCTTAGATTTACAGCCTCATCATTCAGTTCAAGCAAACGCAAAGACTGTTTTGAAACCCAGAGTTGTCATTATTTTCTACATGGGATCATTATATTTTAGAAATTCTTTGTTCAATGCCAAAGCAATTAATTTTAGGAACAAGTACCTTCCTTCTTAGGACCTCTCTTTTACCAGTGTCAAGTCTTTATATTTTGTAGCTGTATTTCAGTTTGACTGTTTTTACCTTAGATTTTTTATTTAAGTGCACATTAACTAACGCAAAAAAAACAATTTCATTTTGTTTATTTGTTGAGAATTTTCCATATGCCATATTTCTTTATTTGACCCAATTACAAGGAAAAAAAAATTTGGCGCAGTTGTGGGGTGCACTGGGTCCTCCTGCCACCATGAGATGGTCATGTATGATTTGGTGTTATTCTATTTACTCATTGCGAATTTGCTGAAGGTATTGATATTGATTTCAAGAGAAAGGGAAGCCTCTTTTTTATGAGAATATATGCTGTCATTTGCATGATATCTTTTTGTCTTACTTTTCAACCTCAGCAGATTCTATATGTAAAATAACTGCATCAATATATATGGGAATACAATGTAAAAATGCATCTCTGATTATTCCCAATGCAGATTTGACAGCAGAGGACCTGATTTTGCGGAATCTTGCAACTCTTACTGATCTAACAGTGTGCTTAGATAAGAGAAATGCTTCAGGCAAGATAGAAAACTATCAGGTCTGTACGATTATCACACTTTATATTTTCTTGTAGCAAAGTCTTTAAGTCAGATAATCCTAGAATTTACTTCTGAAAAGAATGATGAGGTGTCTTATTGAATACATTTTCAAGTTCATATATTGTTTGCCATAAATAAAAGCTGTTTTAATTTTTTGTGTATAATGAAATTTTTACAAGAGTACATTATACATAGACATAGATAATAGTTATTCTCTCTGTTTCTTTGCAGGAGCCCCTGTTGTACAGATGCTCACTATCTTGTAGAATAGTCCGCCAGTTTGAGTCTGTCAACTCTATACAACCATTATGCACGCGATACGATGTCTTTTGCCCACAACTGCACTTCAGTCTGTCAGATATGCAATTGCCAATGTTTCTGAGGTTGCTTCAGCTTGCCTTGGCACTCTACTATGGAGATCTTGGGTCACCCACTGACCTGGAGCAACCCCAAGGCCAGCCAAGAGGGGATGACCTGGACATGGGGCTTGGAGAAGGTAATGGAATGGTGTATCACTTTCTCTTATTTGTTTATCTTTTTGATGGGTGTCTAGGTACTTTGGGATCATTTTAGATCTGAAGGAAAGAGTAGGCTTGTGTGTGGGGTGGGGGGTGGATGGGCAGGTGCGTGCATGCGTGTATGTGTGCATATGTAAAGAGAGTGCATGTATATGTTTATCAAAGACAAAGTTCCTCATTTTGCTTTCTTATTGGGAAATTACATGATGCTGTTTGTCATTACATTATTTTTATCTTCCACAAGATATGACAGGAGAGGATTCGTGGTCATCATGGGCATGGTCACTTGGATCTGCTCTTCTGCCAGTCTATTGGGAAGATGAAGAAAACACCATTTCAGCTCACCATTACCGGCTCAACAAAACCTTGCATATGGGGCTCTATGTCGAGATGGCAACATGGACTTTCAAGGTGAGACTTTAGTCTTTTACAAGTCTGTAAGCAGATCAGTTTACCCTTGCAGATGTTGTCAAGTATTGGATTTATCTAACTTTGAAAGATGAATTGTGCCTCTTACTTCCAGTTGACAGAATCTGTACAAGATAGTGGTTATTTTGGACCTACAAAAATGCGATTCACACCATTCATGAGGGTTGAGCACCAGGGGAGCTTTATGACTGTTGTTGTGCGAGGTCTGGAGGCAGTCAGTGTGCAGCTTGGCATATCTTCTCTCTCAGTGGATCCTGTTGGCATGTGCATCTGTGGAATAGCCGATATACAAGAGGTGAAGCGACTTCCTTTGTGTATTATATTAGCTCTTGATTTTGATTTATTAGGGTTTTACTTTACAGATTTTTTTATGACACTGAATAACACTGTAAGATAAGAAAATGACCCCTAGAAACTGTAGGCCCTAGTCAGTAATATAAAAGCAAGAAATACATTTTTAAGAAGTTTATTGTCAAATTGAAAACGGTGATTCCAAATAGCCAGCTAGAGATTAATGGTACTTAAATATTTGTGAACTCTCAGGGAAACATATCTTCGGGAGAAGGTCAAACAGTCATGGCCAAAGGAGCGTCATCCTTCATCAGCATTGGACAAGAAGGCCAAGAATACCTTGGCAAATCCCTGTTTGATCCTCAGGCATTGATGGATTCCCAAGAGCTCTGGGATTATGCTTATTCTTGGGAAAAGCACTCAAAGGAGACCACAGGTAGTGTCACCTTGGAATATTCTATTAATTTGATTTGGCAGAAGAAATGGTGTGTTTGTTCCAGGAGTGACTTTTAAGGCCATGATGAACTTTTTTAATCAAGAAACTGTTGTCCTAGTGCTATTACTGATGAAAGTAGATAATTTGAAATACTCGCAATTTTAACAAACTGACCACTTGACACTACTAAGTGTGTTATTAACTATTTCTTTATCTTATTCTCATTGAACAATACTATGTTTTTTACTCATAATTTAAAACTGCAAGATTTTTATATATTTTATTTCTTTCTTGTCTTACTCATTGGTTATCATTTAATTGCAGAAGCTAATATGTTGGCGAGGACAGGGGCTCTTGCCATGGACTATTTCTACCTGATGGAGCTCCCAGCAGATTTAAATAGTGAGCAGTTATCAGAAATTAGCACAGACTTAGAATACAGGTAAGAGATTCTTTCTGTGATACGATTTGAGAATCAGAAGACAAATTTGTTTTTCTACTGTTTAAAGTTTAGTTGACATACTGTATTGACAGTTAAACATATTTAAGATTTTATATATAAATGTATATGCATTTATATATATGCATGCATGTGTGTGTTATGTATGTAGACATATACATATTTAGAGTGGAAATTATTTTGAATTGAATATGATAGTTTGTACTGTGTTGTGCAATATATTGGTATTGATACTCAGAGACTGTGAATTCCCATCCTCCAGTGAATGCAGCAGTACTGTATGAGCAACCTGCAATATCCATTCCTCCTCTTTCAGCAATTTAAGTGAACGAGCCATATGTCGCATTGCCTTCGGTGCCTCTGAGGTGAATGCTTCTTCAGGATTCCACCACAGACTGCAGGCAGTGTCCCATGCCCCTCAGCATGACTACCCACCTTACTCTAGTCCTCCAATAGTGAGTTTCTTCTAATTGTTCTAGGATATTGATAGGACACTTTCACAGAGTTCTTTAAGACAAAGGTAGGAGAAGCCATGAATATAAGTGAATAATTCTATAAAACAAAAAAGATCTAATATTTTCAGTCACATATTTTACATTTTTTTCCTTCACACTTTTGTTTCCATTGATAAGTGGTACCATGTTTATACAAAGGTACTTGGTACTTATGCTGTACTCTAACACAGTTTGAGAAAAAGCAAAGCATGATGAGAATGGTGTGTTACACAGCTAAATAGTGTCGCATGTTGCCCTTTTGAAGCTGGCGAAAATAATTTTGACTTACTTTTGTTATAGAAAAAATGTGAATGTACAATTTTTTTCTTTATGTTGCTAATGAAACAAGGAAAGTGTGATGTTATTAATTGCTTCTTAAGTAGGTATGAGAGTATAGTCTGAATTTCTTCAGAGGTAAACGATTGAGAAACAAATTGATTGTTAAAAAGTTTTGTATTTAGATCAGTTTAGTACTATATGACTTCAGCAGTTACTGTGCAGGTATGGTTTATGACAGTCATCCTGTCATATTATCATGTATGAAAGAAAACCTGATTATTCCTTCATATTATATTCTTCAGTGTGCCATTTGATATATATGATTTCCTTCTATTATGAGTGAGATTGCTTTAGTGCTTTGGCTCAGGTATGCAGAAGGGGTTAACATTTCTGGCATCTGAAATTGAAGTTTACCTTCAAGAATTAGACCATTTATAGTCTCTCTTTCCCCATTACTTTGTCTTTAATTGTTCATAGTGCTATGGATTCAGATGGTGAGCAAATGCATTATTTTTTTGCTTCTGCTGCTTAAGGTTTAAAATTTTTAAAGGAATATGAAAAGAATCTTGAATATTAAAATGTATGAATGATGTTCTGTTTCATTTTCAGAACTAACATTGTATTTTTTTTCTTTATACTTGGTGAGAGTTATTGAAAATGAATATATATATAACATCACTCACTTTATACACATTTGAATTACTAGGTATCCTTTCAAATTTTATAAAAGATCATGAAAATGGTCAAATATTTTCTTTCTCCTATCACAAATTTGTCCCCATCCATCACTAACACAGGTCTTTCAACTTGAGCTCCAAAATCAGAAAAGAGTGAAGCCACGACGACCTTTTAAGGTCTTTAGCGGCATCATTTGCATTTTCCAGGTCCAGCTGTGGGCTATATCCCTTGGTTTAGGGTCCACATGAAGCCTTTGCCGCAAATAAAGACAACGAAGAGTTTCTGGGGCCGAGTTTACACTAGAGGTAGAAAGAGAGGAAATTGCTGATATCTTTAGGCTATGTGCATTAGTCATGTTTTCATTTTTTGGTCTCTCATTACTTAGCATGGCTGATGTGCATGATATGTGAGAGGTATTTCTTTATGGTGGCAAAGACTGAGTAACTGTAGAAGCTTGGTGGTCATAGATATTTCCTTAATGGTTATTTTGCTTCATATTTTTTATTATCTTGCATAAAAAAGTTATTAGTGTAATGGTTTTAGATCTTATCCTTATTTGGCCATATATTTCAGGGGAAAAAAATAATTTTCATCAGCATGGAGCATTATCCTTAACCAAAAGTGATTCTCGAAAAAAGGGTTTTAGGGATTTTATTGAAAAATGATTTTATTGAAAATTACTGATAATTATGTAGGTATTATTACCAGTATATTAAAATTTTGGAAAAGAAATTAAGTTATAGCCAGTGAAAAAATGAGAGGCCTCCTGATCTTAAAAGTAAAAAAAAAAAAAGTGCTATCTCCTAAGATAATGATTCTTCAGTTACAACTTTTGCCTCTTTTTTTTGTATATAGTTATTTTCCTTCATATGAGAAGCTTTACTCCTGTCTTCACTAGATTCCTTCAATTATGACCACTTGAGTTGAAGTGCGTAACAGCCACTTCTCACTAGTGACTAACAGGACTAGTAAATCTTTGGAAATTAGATAGCATATATTTATTGCTTATTATTTTGGGCTCAGGCAGGTTATGCTCTTTTCTTTATTGAGGCACTGAGGTTGTTGCCATATCTTGGGAGAAATTAAGATGCAGTATATTCACATTACTGTATCCTCCTGAGGTTCTAAAAAGGTGCTTACCTTGTTAATTTCATGTTTGTTTGTTTGAGGCACTTATGTTGTACCATTTTTTATATTATTATTATTATTATTCCATACTAATAAAGAACCTGGAACAAGGAATTAACCAAAGCGCTTTTCTGTATGTATGATTTTCTCCTTTTTTCCACTAACGTGATTTCGCAGGAGGATCTTCACAGACACTTTTTTAGTATTTGGCATTGAGAAGACTTGCATTTTCAGAGGTGCTCCAGACAATGAGGAACCCATTCACACCGTTAAGGGCTGACAGCACTCGCCCGGACAAAGACATTGAGTCACAAAAATCCAGTGTTCAAAGCCAGTTGAAAAGCCAGAAATGCAAGTGAAAGGGAAAATTGTGCCCATGACTAAAACTTGTAAGTTTTGAGACAAAAGCAGAAAGCAGTGCCGAGCATTTTGCTTCTTTTTTTTTTTTCTTCATTTGTGGGCTCTTGTGTTTTCTTGTGTTGTTTGTGTGTCATTGTGCAGTTGAGAAGTTGCTCAGCATTTTACGAGTTTTCGAAAATGTATTTATCATTTTTGCTATTATTATTGCTATTATTGATACTGTTATTATTATTACCATTATTGTTATTATTATTATTGTTATTACTATTATTGTTATTATCATTATTTTTATTATTTCTGTTATTATTATCATCATTATTATTATTTTCTATTATTATTGTTATCATTGTTATTTTTATTATTATTATATTTATTATTTTCACTATTATTCTTATTTCCACCTATTCCCTTTCTTCAGATTTAACTGCTGGAGCTGAAACAAAATTATTTTTCATTTAATTTAGCTGGGACTTTGCTTTTGTTACTGTGTGCAACTTGCATGTGCATCAAGCAA